TCTTTCTATTTTTAGTAGAGACGGGGTCTCGCTCTTGCTCAGGCTGGTCTCGAACTCCTGAGCTCAAACAATCCGCCCGCCTTGGCCTCCCAAAGTGCTACGATTACAGGCGTGGGCCACCGCGCCCGGCCCATAAGTGGTTTTTAAAAAAACTTCTTGTTTTAACTTTTTTTTTTTGCCAAATACATTAGTCATAAAGGTATCCTCAGGAGATTTAATAAACCCAACTAATCTCACACATCTCATAAACTAAAAAATTTCTATGTACTATGAAACTTTCTTCAGAATTACATCCTTAAAGCAGATATATTTTTTGCACTTACATACAGAAGTAGCAGCAGCAATCAATCTTGTATTTGAGACTACTCCAAATTCCTAGAGAAAGAAAAGTAGATGAGATAAGGTACGTATTAACCCAGTGAACCTGGGGATAGCTATCTGAGGTCTATTCAAAACAGTATTTCCTAGCTCCCCTCATATTTTTAGTCTGTTCACCTTCTACCTACTTGAGGGAAAAAGTACTCAAATCTCTAAAATGTACAGGTTGAGTATTCCTTATCAGAAATGCTTAGAACCAGAAGTGTTTCACAGTTTGGATTTTTTATTTTGGAATATTTGCATTATACCAGTTGAGCATCCCTAACTTGAAATTCTGAAATCCAAATGTTCCAATAAACATTTCCTTTGAGTGTGATGTCAGCACTCAAAAAGTTTCAGGTTTTGGATTTTTCAGATTAGGGCTACTTAACCAGTATTATTTTTCTTTAAAATTGCTACATTTAAAACAACTAATTTTATAATTTAATAACAATAAAAGATACCAAATTAGAAACCAAGCCCCAAAGTGCCAGTGCTAGTTTCTGCACTTAAAGTAGTTTCCAAGAAGTCTGTTTAGATTCTACACTGAATTGCAAGAATAAATATTAATTGAATGGTATGCTTCCTATTGAATTGAACCTGGACTAACAGATACCTCATGCCATTTAATAATAAAAGAGTGGACTCTCTGAATAAGATAAACTTTAATATCACCAAAAGAACTAAAAAAAACGATACAAACAGTAATTATCCTTTTCAGAACAGGGAGACAAGAATGATCTAGTACAAGACTTCTAAGATCACTTCTCATTTCCTCTTTCAACCTAACATACCACCATTCTAAAAATAACTAAAATTTATCAGGCAATGCACCTTACACATTTTGTCTCATTTAATTTTCTCGTAAGATTAACTTCATAAGATTCCTAAACCCTTCATTTCATTTTAAAATTTAAAAAAATCAAGAATTGGTTCCTTATCCAACAAAAGAAACTAAACTAAGAAATCTATCTATTCAAATATTTTCAACCTACCTCCTTATTCTGTGGGGGGTGCATGTATGTGTGCATATAAATTTATATTTACATTTAAACATCCAATCATAATAACTGAAAATAAAATGTAAAAGCCTAAACACCATTTCTATACAATTTCTGTACTATTAGCAGAAAGATTTGGTCACAGAGATAAAAAATAATGCTATAACCAAATCTGAAAGTCACTCCACCCAGCCCCCAAATAATTCTTTATCTTAAAGCAAAAACTTTCACTCAGTAAATCATATAACAGAGTTCTACTCAGTAAATCAAATAACAAAAAATATTTAACAAAACAAATTAAAATCCCCAAATTAATTTATAGGAGTAGATGTTTATAAAGATTTTGCCTTAGTCGCCTATACTGGTTGTACTTAAGATACATATAATTAAATTATTACATGGTAATATTTAAATAAAATCAAATATTGCATGGTAATATTTGAAAAAAATCACCCATAATAAAGGGCTTTTATAAATACTTTTTTTTCCATTAAAGAACTTAACAACAAAGCTGGTTCTACCTCCTTAAAATACCACTCACAATTAGAAAAACTTCAATCTCTAGAATGCTTGTCCTGATATTATTTCTAATAGAGTCAGCTCTCATTATTTAGGAAATAGTTGGGAAAGATGTCATAGATAATCCTAAATAATGGCTAAAATAAAACTAAATCATAGTGGGTATCAAAAGGAATGTAAACTTACTGGGTTAAAATCACATCCATTACTCAAGAATACAATTACTATTCTAAAGATATCATCCAAAAATAGAAACATAATACAAAGATTTTGTAACACTAAAGACTGCATGAATTCATTATGAAAACCAGCCAATGTTTGCTACCATTTTCTGGACTTTAGCTGAGATCTCTCAAAAACATTGAAAAGCTAAATAAGTTGAACAGAAATTCAGTCTCAGCTGCAAGTTCCTATTTCTCTTTTCTCCCTCACCTGATTTCTCTATCCTCACCAACCAAACTTTCACTTGTTAGACTCTATATAGCTATAGCTCCCCCCAATCCTTGTCTTCCCTCTTGCTTTCCCTGTGAATTGGGAGGCAGCCAATCATCAGGAGACACGGAGGGGAAATAAGTAGGACATAAGCATACAAGTGAGAAGGAGGGACATTCTCAGGTTATAGTAAATAAGCTGTGGCACTTACTGATTACTATTACACTTAGTGCCAAACAATAAATGTCTTAAAGGCAGCAAAGCAAAGCAGTTAAGAACAGAGGATTAGGAACTAAACTCTGCTGATTCAAATACTGGCTCTGCCACTTACCAGCTGTATGATCTTAGGCAAATTCTTAATCTTTCTGTGCTTCAGTTTCCTCATTTATAAAATGAGGATACTACTACTACATATTACAGAGTTGTTACGAAGGTTAAATTAGTTAATATTTGTAAAGGGACTTACAAAAGCACTTGGTACACAGTGCTACATAAGCATTTGTTAAATTAATATATAAAGATATGTATATATTTTTATTTTATATATGTATATATCTTTGATTTTGTACAATTTCAGTATCTTGCATAAATTACCATATATTATTACCTTCACATAAGTAATGTGAAAACGGGGGCAGATTAACCAACATACATGACTGTACTTTGATAAAGAACAGAAAATTGTTTTATACCTCTACTTTGGATGCCAAAAACACACATGTAGGAGCCATTAATACAGGATCTATACTTTTCAGAGAATACCTAAAATATGATAAAACAAAGTTAGATATCATTCATACAGAGAACACACTGGAAAAAAAATAAGATAACTCTATGGCAAACACATGATTCACTTATACTGTTCATCATCATTAGATAAGAGTTTCAAATAGCCAAAACATATTCCCAAAATAAAACAGCCCTACCTGGCATAGAATCTCTTGAAATAGACTGTAGCAGTGGCAATAACTTGTTGTCTTAATTTAAGATGTTCACCTAATGCTTGGATAACTAAAAGGAAAATAATAAAGTTTAAATGTATGTTCTGGTACCATTATAATATTAACATTGAACAATAATTTCTATGTAGTCAAATCATGACTATATTCACTTTTAACACAGGAAAAACCTACACATGCTATAAAGCTCTACATGGATCATGGTGGTCTAACACTAGGATTTGCAAATTTGTTTAAAAAATAGGTATTCATAAACACACAAAAAATTGCCCCATAGCAAAACTTATTCTTGCATTAAAGAGGATGAATGATAGGTATTTCCCCTCTATCTTCTAAATATTTTCAATGCTTTTCGTATTATTTTTATAATAAAGATAAGAAGAAAATATTAGCTGTCTATCAAACCATTAAAACACTTTCTACAGTTACAAACAAAAAAAAATCCATAATGAATCCTCAAAACAAGAGAGGTAGGTTTGCAAAAGAGTGAGTTGAAGGTCAGAAAGATCATGTTGCAAAGCTACCACACGGCAGATCTTCTGACTCTAAATGCTCTTCCCTCCAAAGCAAAGTTCTGAGATATGACTGTCCATTATAGGATGTCAATCAAAGAATCCTTTATCCTCTAAGTACTTTGCTTTAGCCAACCTTAAACTACGTTTAATCATGCATTATAAAGGCTTAGGGAGATCAGTTAACACTTTCAAATTGTCCTGAGTTCCTGTGACATGTAAGATTCACACAAAAAAACTTTACTTAGATCACTAAAAAGTAAGATAAATGAATATAAGTTGTAAAAAGAATACATGTATAAATAAAAAAGTATGGACTAAAACAGTTCAAAAATTACCATTTAAAAACACTTTAATTCAGAGGTAACCAACTATACCATTTTAACCAATTAAAAATGTTTACCATTTGTAAAAAATATTTGTAATTTCCAATACTCTTCTTCTGAGAGAAACTTCAAGTCCTTTTGGCGTTCCTTCAATAGATCTTGTTTATCCAAAATCCATTGCAAACTAGAAGTAAGATGTTAAGACATGCTATAAGATAATCAACAAGCAAAGTCACAGACAACACCATAAGATTGATTAGGTTGTTCAGATTCTGAGAAGTACAAAATGCAAGAAGTAACATTAAAGACAATATTTCTCACATTTCTTGAAATGTGAATGAACACATGAATGTGTCCTGAAAAATATTCTGTTCTAATCTTTTCCCTCTTCCTCCTTAGTCTTTCTCTGTTACTAGCTTATATTGTATTTCGTTCATTCTAGGACTCTGATATCAAGACATGTCTTATAATCAGTGATGCCTTAGCATTTTAATTGGCAGTATGTTTATTCTTTCTTAGTGATATGTAAAATAATGGTGGAATTATTTGGCACCAATTAATGGCACCTTTGATTTGATGAAGTAAATTGTTTCTCAGCTGTTCATAAGTAACTATGGTATTTGATTTTCCTACTTCACAAAACCAATCATACTAAAAGCTGCTTTAAAATTTATTACACCGACAGCCTCCTCCTCTGGCCTAGTCAAGTATACTATTTTTAACTAGAGATATGAAATTGATATTGCTCAAAAAACTATTCTGCAACCTGTTTTTCTCATTCGGTATGTATCGTAAGTCTTTTTATGTCAATGACCTTGTTATTTAGCATCCTTTTAAATTGCTGCACAGCATTATGGATGAATCATTAGCCAATCCTTATGGCAGATATACAGGTTATCATTTTTTCATTATTACAAATAATGCTTTAGTGAACATCTTTATAATTCATCCTTGCATATTTGATTAATAATATACCTGAAATCATTTCTTAGAAGTAGAAGTAATGGGTCAGTTTTGCAGGTAACTTTGAAACACATTGTCAATTTGCTCTCCAAAAAAGTGACACCAATTTCCACTCCAATTAACCATTCATGAGTGTGTCTTAAAATATTTAACCCTATGGATTACTGACCGTCTTTTAAATACTTTGTAACTTAAAGGCAAAGTATTACTTTACTGTTTTGTTTTTTGTTTTTTTACTTCTAAGGTTAAACATCTTTTCATACCCTTATTGGCCAAATATAATTCTTCTTTTGTACAATGTTAATTCTAATATCACTATTTTTTCTAATGGGATTGGCATTTTTTATGATTAAGAGATTCTTTTGATCTAAAATTTATGCATTATCGATAATAAATAATTTGTCTGTAAAATAAGCTGCAAAAATTTCTCCCAAGTTTAAATATCTTTCAATATTTAATTATGTGCAATGCAGAAATCTGAAACTGAATCACTTATTTGAATCTCCCCATCTTTCATGTTTGTCATGCATGGAAAAGCCTTCCCTGACTGAAAATGATAAAAATAATTCACCCATATTTTAACACCTTTCAAGGCTTTTTTTCTTTCAATTTATAATCCAACTGGAATTTATTTTGGTATAGAGTAGAAAGTAGGGATCCAGCTAATTGTTTTGTCAAATGGTTCCAAATGCTGCTTAAGTATTTCCTGATTTATAATTCTGCCATTATATTTGGATCTTTATAATTTCCTATTTTTAATTTGTTTTCTTGTCCCTATGCCATGCTATTTTAAAACGTAGAAAATTAAATAATATCTGGTATAGAAAATACCCCCTTGCTACTATTCTTCAGAAAATTTCTGACTATTCTATCACAATTACTATTCTAAAACCTGAACTTTAGAATCATTATGTCAAGTCCCAAAAAATAATATCCATTCAAAATTTTGTTTGGGATTGCATTAAATTTAAAGATCAATATAGGGAGAAATTACATCTTACAATGCTACATTTAAACTCCATTTATTAAAATCTCTGTTCCCCTACAGAGTTTTAAAGTTTTCTTCCTACCAGTACTGTACATTACTTAACTTTTTTCTCCAGTATCTTATATTTTCTGTTACTATAAGTAAATTATACTTTTCTACCATTAATTTTTAAAAAGTTTATCTTTGTATTTTGTAACTAGTCATCTCATTAAACCTTTATTTCTAATAATTTTTTAATTAACTGAATTTTCTAATTAATTTTATCCACATATTGATAATTATCATTCTTTTTATATCTCATTCTCCTACCAATTTCATTGACTAGCATATTCTGAAAATGTTAAAGAGGCACCCTAATTTTCCTAATGTTTTGCCCTTAAATATCTCTTGCTGATGCTTTCATGTTTTTCATGTTAAAGAAGCATCCTATTTCTGTTTTAGTAAGAACTTTAGTCAAGAACAGATGTTGAATTTTAATAGTATTTTAATGCCTTCACTGTTTAACATATTTCCTAATATTGACTCTATTTCTATAGTAAAATTCACTTTGTCATGTTTTATACTTTGAATGTAATGTTAGTCTCCATTTAGTAATACTTTATTTATCATGTTTGCATCAATATGCAAAAGTGAGACTGTTTTTAGTGCCACCTTAGCTAGATTTTCCTATTAGCATTATTGTGGCTTTATAAAGAGAACTAGAAAGCTTTCCTTCTTTTTGTGTGAACTAGAACAATTTCAAAAGGAAATCTTTTTAAAACCTGGAAAGAATTTACCCATGAAATAATGTGGGCCTGGAGTGTTTTTTAAGGAGTTGCTCTCTGGTAATTTTCTTAACTTGTTTTGGCTTTCAAATTTATCACCATGGAGATAACCCAAAGGTACCTTTGGTTTATTTACTTTTCTCATTCCTAATTTTTATTTTTGTATCCTCTTTTTTCTTGATTTAACAAGCAGTTGTTTGGTCTACTGTTTTGGTTTTCTCTAAGAACCAGCTCTCACATTTTTTTTTCCTTTTAATACGTTACAATCAGTGTTATTTTTAATAAATCTTTCTGTTTCCTTAGGTTTATTTCACTTTCCTTAGGTTTACTTCACTTTCCTTTTTAATATTCTTAAGTAGAGTATTTGATTTATTTTTATTCTTTGTTATTCAGGATGTTCATTTTCTAATAAATGCAGCTTTGGCTATATCCCATATATAGTGATCTCATGCTATTTTCTAGACATTAAATATCTTATTGTCAGTTTCTTTTTTATACAGTAAAGTATCCACAGTTGGTTTTGTAGTTTTTATTTTTGTAACTTGTTCAGTAATCCATTCAATCAACCAGCAAATATTTAGTGTCCTTCTAGTTCATTTTGGTCAGAGAATGTGTTTGGGTCTATTATATCTTTCTGAAATATACTGTGATTTGCTAATCTGCTTCATCTCCACAGAGTCATTTTACATTTTTAAAAAGATAAATTTCACAAATATCTTAAAAGTTTTCCTCACGGCACTCTGTATGAAGGATAAACCAAGAAGACTTATAAATACTTCATTTCATCAAATTTAAGATTACATGTAAGATTCACTATTATTTCATGTGCTACTATAAAAGAAATTGCCATGTTGATTTCAGAGTTAAAGTGTGAAAATATGCATCTTAGAGGCATGATATGCAGCATATTTCATGTCAATTTTCCTCTTTCACAAATTCACCTAAGACAATGGCCTTTCATAATTTTTTTCTTTGTTTTTCCAGAATTGTCTTGTCTTTCACACTTGTTACCTTTTGCAGATCAGGGGCTCCATAATTCGCAAAGGATTTAAGTAAGGCAAATTGGCCTCTTCCTCCAGGACAATTTGAATTGAAAAGGACAGCACCAAAGAAGCACATTTAATTTTATAATAATTTTACATGTGAAAAGTGAAAAACCCGTTTTTATAGTGCCAAGAGTAAATGAAAGCATAGTGAGAACACTTATAAAAAGGGAAGAAGGATCTTTTTATATTTAAAGTTGAAAAACCAACAATCAACAACAGCTAGCTACTTGTCAATTCTCTCAGCTTCTTTCAAAGTTTATCAGGGTATCTCTTCTCTGCTACCAAAACTTATTTTAACTTTGCCCAAGCAAATATTTCACCGTGTGAAACAATGCAAAATCAAAATAATATAATCAGTAGTAAAGCTTCTATAACACTTCATCTCCACTGAATCACTTTATAGCAAGAGGAAAACCTGCTTTTCCTTTAATAGGTTTCTCAGCCCATTGTTTCTTTTTTTTCCTCGTGCAAAGGGCTAAAAAATGAACAGTAAGAATCGATCTTATTCACAGAAACGGAATTTAAATTAGCTACTAATGCTTTCTTAGCATTAAAAATTATTATCCTCTTTATCAAGTTCCGTTCATCTTTCAACTATACAGTGGAAAGCCTGGTTAATGTTCAATTAGTCCCATCACATACCTTCCGCCTGCTTAAATGTATGTTGGGATAAGTGTTTTTAATATTACTCTAGCTCTTCCATAGTCACTGACAGAAATAAAAACTTATTCATGAAAAAGGTTAAAGAAATAGGCAAACAAATCACTGGAAAATGCACTTTTAAAATATAAGGCACAGGCTAATGAAATGGATACATTTTGAAAGCACCTGCTCTATACCTCATCAACATAAAACTCCATCTAGGCATAGAGTAGTGGCAGGAAGCAGTTAGCAGGCAGAAATAAGTCTGACTCCCACCTCTCCTCGAAATAAGATATCCACTCAAGATAAAAGATGAATGACAAAAGACTACGATGCCCATTCTCTGAAGAAATACCAGGCAAAAAAAGCAAGCCACAACTGTGCTGAACAGGTAGCCTCACAGTCCTGAACTGAGTCACACTTCCCATACCTGTGCCCACTCCATCTCACTCCCCGCGGCCTAATCCAGGAATCCGAAATTAAACACCTAAATCTTCCTTCTCCAGAAACTAAACCCCCTTCCCTCACACTTCCAGCTCACAGATCCTTCCCTCCCCGAAACTGGACCCAGGGGCGTGGAGGAGAGTCGCCTCAGAGAAGCTCATCTCGCTTCCAGTAGCCGCCACCTCCCGGGAGTACCGCCGGCGCTCGGGACGGAGGCCGGGATCCAGGCCCAGGGGAGTCGCAGGCCCACTCCTCACCGCCCCCCATGAACCGGCCCCAGGTGAGAAGCCGGAAGATCACTTACTAGTGGGAGCTCTGCCAAAAGTTCCCTGCCATGGAACACAGCTTGCCCTGATAAAAAAGCACCAGCCGGCGGAGCGGCCCGCGGAGCGACCATAGACCCAGCCCGTCTGGTAACCGCGCTCCCTGATCAAATCAGCTCGACTCTGCTCCGCGGCAGCGACGGCAAAAGGAAGAGGATGGCACCCTATTCTCCTGGACGCCGGCCGGCAACACTCAACAGTGGAAACCCGTTCCTATGGACAAAAGTTCCGGCCCGCCCTGCGGTAGCGGAGGAAGCCAGCGGGTAGGCAACGGCCTGTAGGCGAGCTGAGATAGGAGACGGGAACTAGTGCTCACGGAGACTCGCGGCGGGTGGAAAGCTCTCGCGAGAGCGTCGTGCAGTTCTGGCCTAGAGCCGGCACAGGTCGGTTTCGAGTCTTCAGCATTGGAGTCGCTGAGTGGGGGTAACCTAGAGCAAGTGGCCCAGCTCGAGGTTCTATCATTCCGTCTTCCAGACCTCCAAAAACAGGACGATGGCATTGCAATAATAATAAAACATAAGATTTTATGACTTCACTTCTTTTTCCTTCTATTGGAAGGAGAAATAAATGAAGATGACTTTGACCTCACGGATCGAGTGTTCTTAATTGAGTTCCCACTAGCACCAGGCACAATGTGTTCTTTTATTATTATTATTATTTCAGGATATTATGGGGATACAAACATTTTGGTTACATGTTATGACTTTGCCTCACCCAAGCCAGGATTGGAGGTATGCCCTTTCCCCCATACAATGTTCACCGCGACCACCAATGTGTTCTTAATGGAGTTCTTTGAGAGTGTTAAAGCGCAAACTTTTAGAGCAACAGACTTTGCTTTTAATGCCGCAGAACCACTAGTTTTGCAAAACATCGAAAAACACTCAATTGTATGTACACTTATGTACACATATGTACATGCACGCACATATATGTAACAAAAAAGCATACTGCAAAAATATAATAATTTTACAAGGTGAAATAATGTTTTTGTATTTTCCATTTCATTATCATTGTAACAATGCATTTATTATAAAACTTCGAAATCTTTTTCTAAATAATTGGACACACCTGAAAGTTGCTCATAGAAGATCAATGTTCTGAAGCAGTTTAAGTCAGTATTTTTTCACATTATGGGTAGAGACCAGTTAGGGTGTGGTGAAATTAAGCACGATAACATTTTCCTAAATGCAATAGAACAAAAAAATATGTCAGAGATAGCAAGGATATTATTTTTAAATTTGATTCAGTTATATATGTATGTATATATACTAGGTCGAGATGTGAAGTGCATTTATTTCTATGTGAATTAGTCTGAATAAGCTAGACTAGGGGAAATTATGGTAACAGCGCTCCACTCCCACCCCCAGTCTCTGTAGCTTAACATGAAAGTATTTTGTATGTCACATGGCACTCCCATAAAGTTCCATAAAGTCAGCTTGCTCTCCTTGGTCGTTGTCCTCCAGATCTTCAAGGATCTAGTTAGTATCTTCTACCTTTCAATTATTCCATCTTGATGTTCTTTGATTCTAGGCTTAAAATCTTTCTAGAGAGAGCACAGAGGACTCATGGTAGCTCTTACACAATGTTAGACCCTTGAAACAGAAACAACACAATCACCTCCTCTCATGGATCATTGACTAGAATAGACACATGCCTCTAATTTAACTTTCAGGGAGACTGAGAAATGTAGGGGAGCATGGATTTGATGAATGCAATTGTCTGTTACATTACAGATCACAGTCAAAAATGTTTGAAAACGCACTAGCTTAAACTCCAGGCCATGGGCTACTTAACAGAGATTCAGGATTTCTCCAACTCTCTTGGGGTTTTTTGTTTTTTGTTTTTTTTGAGACAGAGTCTCACTCTGTTGCCCGGGCTAGAGTGAGTGCCGTGGCGTCAGCCTAGCTCACAGCAACCTCAAACTCCTGGGCTCAAGCGATCCTACTGCCTCAGCCTCCCGAGTAGCTGGGACTACAGGCATGTGCCACCATGCCTGGCTAATTTTTTCTATATATATATATATTTTTAGTTGTCCGGATCATTTCTTTCTATTTTTTAGTAGAGACGGGGTCTCGCTCTTGGTCAGGCTGGTCTCGAACTCCTGACCTTGAGCGATCCACCCGCCTCGGCCTCCCAGAATGCTAGGATTACAGGCGTGAGCCACCACACCAGGCCCGTTTTTTGTTTTTGTCAGCTGGGCATCATCCAGAAGATAGGGATACCACAACAAATTAGTATATTAATGCTTTATTCTATGTGCTCCTATTACACTTTGCTGCTATCACTGGACTAGCACTTAATTCTGTTTTATACCTAATTCTGCACTCTTCTGCCCACAAAACAGTGAGCTCCTTCATCTTTGTATCTCCATTAGTTCAGAGCATAACACATAGTAAACATAGCAAATAGGTATGTGAATCTGACTCATATAATTGGGGTATGTGCTTTGATATAACAGAATGGATATAAAATTAGGTTGAAAAAGTGGGTACTGCATTTAGAATGCAAAAAGAACCACAATAAATTAGTAGAGCTGTGAAAATCCAGTTCCTTTCCTTCTGTGAACTCTTTCAGGGAATTACCAGAAATGCTACATAGAACTTCTTCTTGTTTGTGACCTGGTTTCTACTTCCCACCCAGAACACCAAATGCCCAGCAGCTCCCAGTGCTCACAGGAGCTGTGCAAGTCAGGGGCCTGGAGCTCAGGCTTCTTTAATTCCAGGGAAAATCACCTCTGAAGATATTCTGTAAATGTAGCCTGAGTTAAATTGACTTGAACCAAAAGCTAACCTCATTTAAGGATATCTCTGGTGGAATAGAGCAATTTACAAAAGCTGTTAAAATTTCTAGATATCCCAGCTTACCTAGATATAAGAAGATGATGAACCATGTAGGTTTGCTTCTTATTGCCAATGATTTTTTAAAGCTTTTCTTTATAATTTTAGGAGTATTGTTTTTCAGTCCTCACCACTCACATAATTTAAACTTAATGAAATAATTCAATATTGTCCCCTTCAATTTTCAATTTACCTTGTGCTTTTCAAATAGGAATATGTTCAATAAATTCTTGATGCTAACGTTCATTCTCCTGTGACAAAAAAAGCATTTATCCTTTTTCTTATTACAGTGCTTTCTCTAGCAGCATTAATACCATTTCCTGGAAACTAGGGCCTAGAAATTTAATGCCTTTATCAAGCTCACTTGGATCTGGAAACTAGAGCCTAGAAATTTAGTGGCTTCATCAAGCTCACTTAGCTAGTTAGTGGCAAGAGCAGCTAGAATCCAGTTTTTCTGATTCACAGTGCAATAAGTTTTTCACCCAACCAGACAGCTTCAATAAAACTTTCATGACTAAACTACCATTAACACATTATTCCAAGTTTGTAGTACAAGTTTCTCCTGTCAAACACAATTATTGGAGACAATCTTCTCATTTTTAATTAAATTTTTATTTTAGTTATTTTGTTTTGGTACTAATAGTCTTTATTGTGAAAAACATCTTCTTCTCTATCTAGTTATTCCCTGTGTCTCCCTTTATTTCAGTTCCTGAATATCTGTATCTGTTGAAGATGAATAATCCTCAAATTATGGAGAAGTGTCTTAGTTTTTTCCTGCTATAAGAGAATACCACAGACTGGGCAATTTATAATTGTCAACCTAAATAGAGAGAGGCTTTCTAAAAGAAAATGGTATTTATCCAGGAATAAGACATTGCAATGAAGCTGGGCATGGTAGCTCATAGCTCACGCCTGTAATCCTAGTACTCTAGGAGGCCGAGGCGGGAGGATTGCTTGAGGTCAGGAGTTCGAGACCAGCCTGAGCAAGAGCAAGACTCTGTCTCTACTAAAAATAGAAAAATTAGCCGGGCATTGTGGCACGTGCCTATAGTCCCAGCTACCTGGGACGCTGAGGCAAGAGGATCGCTTGAGTCCAGAAGTTTGAGGTTTCAGTGAGCTAGATGACACCCCTGTACTCTACCTAGGGCAACAGATTGAGACTCTAATACACAAAGCATATTAGTTAAGAACTCAGGCCTGGCATGGTGGCTCACACCTGTAATCCTAGCACTTTGGGAGGCTGAGGTGCGAGGATCACTTGAGGCCAGGAACTCCAGACCAGCCTGAGCAAGAGGGAGACCCCTGTCTGTACCAAAAATAGAAAAAAATTAGCTGGGCATGGTGGTGAAAGCCTGTAGTTTCCAGCTACTTGGGAGGCTGAGGCAGGAGGATCACTTGAGCCCAGGAGTTTGAGGCTGCAGTCAGCTATGACAACACCACTGCACTCTAGCCCAGGAGACGGAGCAAGACTCTGTCTCAAAAAAAACAAAAAAACAAAAAAACCCTCAGTCTCTGAACTCAGCGGTCCCCAACCATTTTGGCACCAGGGACTGGTTTTGTGGAAGATAATTTTTCCACACGGAGGATGGTTTCCAGATGAGGGGATGGTTTCCAGATGATTCAAGTGAATTACATTTATTATGCAGTCAAATCTCTCTGCTAATGATAATCTGTATTTGAAGCCACTCTCCAGCACTAGCATCACCACCTCAGCTCCACCTCAGATCATCAAGCATTAGATTCTCATAAGGAGCCGGCAACCTAGATCTCTCGCATGTGCGGTTTACAGTAGGGTTTAAGCTCCTATGAGAATCTAATGCCACTGATGATCTGACAGGAGGCGGAGCTTATGCAGTGATGCCAGCGATGGGGAGCGGCTGTAAATACATAAAGCTTCACTTGTTCACCCACTGCTCACCTCGTGCTGTGTGGCCCTGTTACTAATAGGCCACAGACTGGTACCAGTCTGCAGCCCCAGGGGTTGGAGACCACAGTCTAAACTAGACTAACTGGGTTCAAATAATAGCTCCGTAACCATTACTAGGTATCTAATCTTGGCCATACTACTTAGCCACTCTGAACTTCAATTTCTTCATCTGTAACACAGAGATAATCATAGTGCCCAAGTCATTTGGTTGTGGTGAGGTTTAAATGAACCTTAAATGAAATTAGAACAGCATATGGTACATGGTAAGAGCTCAACAACTGGTTTTTTTTTATTACTGTTATTTTTTATTTTTAAGACAGGGTCTTACTCTGGCACCCAAGCTGGAACGCAGTGGCCTCATTATAGCTCACTGCAACCTTGAACTGCTGGGCTCAGCCTCCCAATTAGCTGGGACTACAGACTGCACCACCATGCCAGGCTAATTTTTTTCAATTTTTAGTAGAGACGGGGTCTTGCTCTTGTTCAGGCTGGTCTTGAACTCCTCCTGACCTCAAGCAATCCTCCAGCCTCAGCCGCCTGGAGTGCTAGGATTACAGGTGTG